AAACACCAGGATGAGGTTCCTGGAGATGGAACAGACCAGTGGGGACAGCGGGGGGCAGGGGGTGGCAGGTCCCACGCCTGTCTCTGAGAGGCTGTGCCATTTGAGGGGGTATTGTTTCTTTTTTCATGAAGGTCTTGAGGGGCGAAGGACATCCCAGATCTGACGTTTGCCCTGCACCCCAGAAAGGGATAGGTTTGTCTGGCTGGCTGGGGGGTCCCCTCACAGAGCCCCCCGAAAAGCCTTTCTAGGCATGCAGGGGTTTCTGAAGGGGCCCCCTTGCAAGACCCCCTCCCATGTCCCATGACCTGGCTCAGAGCCAAGCCCAACCTGAGACTGAGCGAGGGGCCCCAGGTGCCAAATGTCCAGCGGTGTGACTCTCCTGGGCCTCAGTTTCTTCACTTGTGAAATGGGATTGCAGAAGGGCTTTGAGGATCCTGTGGGATGACACAGGCCCATTGCTGAGCTCACAACGGGAGCTTGGTAAATCCATGCTGAATGAACAAACGAATGAATGAATGAATGAATGAATGAATGAACTGTCCCAGACAAGTCGAGCCTGCAGGACTCTGGGCCAGTCGTGTCGTCTGTCCAAGCCTGGTTTCTCCTCCATGAAGTGGGGAAGGTGTAGACACAGCTGGACCCACGCTCTTGAGTTATTTCCCAGCACTTTGCTCTTTGCCCATGGGGACAGGGACTGGGGTTCCCTTTCCGTGGGATCTGGAAACCATAGTTCTTGTCTCATTTCATTTCAGTTGTCATTTGTGGACCCTGTGCTGGGCCTTGGGTGGGGAGGGGTGCCCAGGGCCCCTCGGCCCCCTGCCCCCGAGAGCCCGCCCAAGAGGGACGGTGTGTCTGGTGGGGGCCGTAGCGCCTGAAGCAGATGGACTTGGAGGGGAAGTCTTCAGGGGGAGGTGTCATGTGAGGGGTCTCTTCACAGTGAGGATGGGGTGTGGAGGGGCGAATGCCAGCCAGTGAGTTCAACAGTGGTGTCCTGGGGGCCTGGGAGGAGGAGTGGGGAGGGAGGCCAGGATGCCACCCCCTAGGCAGAAGGAGCCACGGCAGCACCTAGAGCAGGAGAGCGGCGGGGTCTGGGTGTTTGGCAGAGGCTTTGCTGGGGCTCCAGGGGCAGAAGGGGAGGCTGGAATAGTGACCTGGGGACCACCTTGCTTTCTTCTCCTCCATACCACCTGGAAATGACCTAGTGGGGGCCTCTCCTGGGTCCCCACGTCTTCTAAAGCCACAACTATGCATCTTCTAAAGGACCATCTTTGGGGCCCCAGCCTGACCGCTGGAGACACCTCCTGCAGTCCCTCCCCCAGCGGCCTCGGTTTCCCTGTCTGTAATATACACAGGTCAGACATGAGGGACCCTGGTTTCTCAATGATGTGTGGCTTGGTGGACGTCACCCAGCAAAAGCTGGGGGATAGAGCAAGGACTGGGTCTCAGCTATCTAATGTGTGCCCACCCCAAAGACACAGACACTCCCCAGAGCCCTGGCCCCTTGGCTAGAGGGTTGGCTGGATCCCAAGAAGACCCTGAGGAAACCTGCCCGCCTGCAGGAGATTGGGCCTCTGCTTCTGATTTTCTCCTCTCGCTTTCTGATTTGCCCATCTGTAGAATGAGAATGTTTTCATCTCATAAACTTGTTTAGAGATCAAATAAGTCAATGGATGTAGGTATTCCTCCCACATGAGAAACTGTCTCCCTACCCCAAACTCTTACTCATACTTCAAAACCCACCGCAGATTTTCCATCTTCAGTGAAGCCCCAGGATAGCCTCTGGCTCCTCACTCCTCTATGCTCTAGGGTCTCCCAGGGGGTGGTCCCTACCTCTGCCTCAATCCTGACCGCATAGGTCTGGGAGTGCCTGTATCTACCTCTGTCTCCCCTCACGCCAGTGGGTCCTCCCTGGGGTTGCAAAATTACCCAGCATGGGGCACACCGGGAATGTTATTGAATAAATGAAAGGAGGAAGGGAGGGAGCAGGGAAGGGCTACAGCCATGGGGAGCCAGAGAAGGTGGAGGAGGGAGGCAGGGCACTAGGCAGAGACCTCGGTGGGACAGATGGAGAGAGGGAGCCGGAAGGAGGTGGGCCGAGCCAGATGGGCGGGCAGGGGCGACAGGAGGGGTGGGTGTGGGGAGACCCAGCTTCCCCCCCCGCCCCCCCGCGCCGCACGCCTCCTCCTGGCTCGGGCGGGCAACGCCTGCAGGGCCCGGCCTCTGGCGGGCGGATCGTCAGCTCCCGCCTGGGCGTCGGGCGCAGGGAGCGAGGCGCGGGGCCGGTGCGTGCGTGCGGCGTGTGCGCGCCTGTGCGCCCAGGGCCGGCCGGGAGGGCGGCGGCACGTGGAGGCCAGCCTGGCGCGCGTCTCCAGGCCGGTGGGTAAGGCGGGCCGCGGGGTGCGGATGGCCAGGCCTCGGAGCCTCGGCTTTTGAGCGGGGGTGGGCGGGGTGGGGGGGGTACTGTGGAGGAGGGGACTGCCCGCCTGACTTCTCGGGACCACACCGGGACCCTTGCCCCGAGCCCGAGCTGACCCGGGAGGGGGAAGGGGCCTCCCAGGAGGAGGCGGAAAGGTCCCAGGCTCCGCAGCGGGCGGGGGAGATGGGGCGCAGGTACCCAGGCCGCGAGAATGGGGCGGGGGTGGAGGGTGCGGTGATGGGGACAGGTTCCCTCCCCGTGGCCCCCCTCCCTCGCTCCCTCCCTCAGCTCATCCATCTCCAGAAGATTATATTTAAATATCTCTTTTGTGCAAGGCAGGAGCTGGGCTCGCCCCTAAGAGGCGGTTTCCATGGCAACAACAATTGCCAGCTTCCGTGTGGTGAATCAGCGTTGCCATGGCAACCCCATCCTCATCTGCCCAAGGTGCTGGGAGGAGGGAGGAGGTGAGGGCCAGCGGAGGCGGGGTGGGAGGGGTGGGGGCGAACAGGAGGCTGGAGTTCAGGTGCCCGTACTCCCCCCACCTCCCTTCACAACCTGTCTGCCCCCAGCCCAGAAACTGGTCCCATCTGGTTGAAATAATCTCCCCTCCTGCCTCCAGCTAGCTGGGTGTGGTACCCAGGTGGAGAGGGCTCGGGTGTGTGTGTGTGTGTGTGTGTGTGTGTGTACGTGGTGGGGGAAGGGAGACATGGTTTTGCCTTTCCCAGGTGGTCAGGGTCCCTCTGAAGATGTGGCTGGGTGGCAGGTATTGGGGACACTGGGAGGCCTCTCTGCTTCTGAGCCTCCCAAGGCTGAGTTCAAATTGAGGCAGCCCATATGAGCCAGGGAACAAACAGAATGGGAGGGGCTCAGAGAGAGTAGGGAAGCTGGAGAGGGGGAGGGGGCTCAGGGAAACAGGGTGCAGCGTGAGGGAGGGGACTCCGATGGGGTGGGGAGGCTCGGAGCTGAGATAGGGTCCAAGACAAGAGGAAGGAGATTTGGGGGTTCATAGTTGGAGAGGTTTCTACTCATAGGAGTGGGTAGAAAGATCCTTGAATTTGACATCTAGGAAGGCTGCTTAGTGCCTCGACTCGCCCACCATGACCTTGGACAAATAGTCTGGGCCTTGATGTTGACATCTGTAAGGCCCGGTGAAAATTGTGCCTGCCTCTGGAGCTTGCTGGGCACCTGCACAGCGACTAGAAAGCTGAGATCCATCAAGCACCTTCTCTGAATGACCATGGGGACGGTCTGACCTGGGAGGGGGTCTAGGACTGGCACTCGTTCCAACCGCAGGCCAGGCGCAGAGCCACCAGTTACCTTCCATGCTGGTGTGCATCAGCCACTTTTTTCTGGTCAATTCAGTTCGGCAAGCTTCTTGGATTCTCCCTGTCTGGTGTGGGGAGAGATGCCTGCTCTGAGAAAGCAAGACATAGACACTTCCTGCCCTGAGATGGAGGAAGGAACCCAGAGGGGTGGAAGGATTGCCTGCATGGGGGCTTTTGAGCTGGGTTTTGAAGGATGAATAGGAGTTCACCAGGAGACACGAGGCTTGGAGGAGGATTCTGTTCCCAGACCAGTGGAGAAGCAAATGGCACCCCCCTTCCCACATCCCTTGAGTTTATTCTCAAATATCCACATTAGCTCACACCCATGGCTGGGTCAGTTTGGGGGTGGGGATTAGAGGAGGATTTCTTCCATTAAACATCATTTTCAGTGCTGGGGGTGGAGGACAGAAGTGTCCAGAGCAAGGAGCCCAGATTGAAAGCTGGTCCACTCAGGTATGACAGTCCTCCCACCCAAGGCTCAGAGAGCTGACTAAAAGTAGCTGCCTTGGTATAAGTCAGCTACTACTAAGTCACAAACCAACCCAACCATTTTATTTGTTGATTCTGTGGGTTAGTAAGCTCAGACTGGGCTCAGCTGGGTGGTTCTTCTGCTGGTCTCTCCTGGGGTCATTCATGCAGTGGCAGGCAGGGCTTGCTGGGATGAGCTGGGACAGGCTAGCCTCATTCCCACATGCTGTTTGTCAGGGAGACCTCTCAGGGCATGAGGTCTGTCCTCCTGTCCTGCCTGGGCGTGTCACCTGGCAATGTCAGGGTTCCAAAAGAGGAAGCTGCAAAGTCTCTTGAGGCCAGAGCTTGGAACTCCCACCACTTCCCTTCCACTACATTCCACTGGTCAGAGCAAGTCAGGAGGCCAAGTCCAGATGCAGAAGGGTGGGGAAATAGGCTCCAGTTTTTGATGAGAGAAACTGCAAAGTCACATCACACACAGGGACTAGAGGGATTGGGCATCTTTGCAAAGAACCTACTACACTTGAGAAAGCAAGGAGGCTTCCTACAGCAAGAAATATTGTGACTGGGTTTTGAAGGTAAAGTAAGAGTTTTCCAGACTGCAATGAGTGAAGCCCCATCGGTGGAACAGATGGGGCTGTGTCACTCGTTTGACTGATTTGCTGCTGGAAGTTGGTGGGATGCTGAGCCTTGGGGAGGTGGTCAGGGTGCCTGGCAGAGCTCAGGAGAAGCCCCCACCCCTGATGCCCCCACTGTCAGCCTTGACCTCCTTCTCCCCTCTCTCTCTACAGATGGCGCGGCCAATCCAAGTGAAGCCAGCGGACAGCGAAAGCCGCGGAGGTAGTTGTCATCTCTCCGTGGCCACCAGGCTGGGGGGTGGCAGAAGAATGGGGGACGGAGGGGAGTCCCCGATCAGAAGGCTGTAGCAGTCACCTCTCTGCTCACACACCTCATGGTGGTGGGAGAGGCAGAGTCCCCTGGCTAGGGTAGGGGCAGGAGAGCGGGGGGGGGGGGCTGTGTCCCTTCTTCCACACCACAGTGCCACAGGCCCAGGAGTGGAGGAGTTGTGGGAGGGATCTGGCAAGTCCAGCTGCTTCCCCCAAGAACTTAAAATGCCCCCCTCCCTGTAGGGTGCAATATTGGGGGTCTTCTGATGCAGAGGGGCTGGGATCCCTGAAGGGACCCCTCAGGGGGATTGCTTTCAGTGTGTGTGTGTGCGCATGTTTGTGAGCATGCATACCTTGGCACACCTGTGTACAGATGTGTGTGAGCATGTGCACACGTGCATGTGTGTTTCTGTGGCTTATGCGGTGGGGCTGCCTGCTGGCCTGTGTGCATGTCTGCATGCCTGGCCTGTGTGTGGGCGTGTGTGTGCGAGCCTGTGTGCTTGACTGTTCCAGGCTGGGCGTGTGGGTATGCGGGCTGGAGGCCTGGCATCTGCATAGGTCTGGACCGTGTTGGGGATGTGACCGTGGGGGTATGCTCGGCTGTCCCTAGTGGCATCCAAGCTAGCCATTCTGGGAGATTTTCCTACCCCCTCCCCATTTCAGATGGACTGGGCGCTGAGGGGGAGCAGCCAGCCTTGGGGGTGGTGTGTGGGGCAGGGCTGTTAGGACGCCCGCCTGTGTATATGTAGGAGCCTGGTACAGCCCATCTGGGCTGGAACCTGTTTTCGCACTCTCAAAACGGGCTGCTAGTGTAGGTCAGGGATTGAGACGGGGGTTGGGGGGTCCTGCATGTCTCCATCTCTTCTCTTCTCTCTCTCTCTCTTAATAATTCTTCCTCTTCTCCTCCTCCTCCTCCTGTCGCTCTCTCTCTGTCTCACCTTCTCTTTCTCCCTCTCACTTCATACCTCTTTCTCTCTCATCTTTTTCTCTCCTTCTGTGTCTCTGATTCTCTCTCTACTCTTTGTGTCTCTCTTTGTCTCTTACTGTCTCTCTCTTTGACTGTCTCTGTGTTTCTCCGTCTCTCTTTCTCTCTCACCTGTCTCTTTCCCTGACTCTCAGTCTCTCTGCTTCTGTGCCTCTCTCTTCCATCCCCATGAGTGACAGCTGCCAGAGAACAGGTTTCCATAGTAACCCAGCTCACCATCCCTGGGAGATGAAGCTGCCATGTTCCTGATTGCAGGGGAACAGCCCAGTTACCAGAGGGAGCAGGACTCTGGTGCCTCCAGCCAGGCCTCCAGCCAGACCCCCACCCCCACCCCACCAGATGGGGGCTCCAGGCTTCGGGCACCTGGTCCTGCGCGCACACGTGCCCTCGCTCATTCAACAGACTTTGACTGCCTGGCCCCTCTCGAGGACGCTGGGGCCATCAGCGCTCACCCCCGACTGGGAAATCTAGATGGCAGACAGACAGACAGGGACCCAGGCCAGGCAAGGCAGTTCTTAACGCTAGTACTATGTGTGAGTTCTCCGAGGGCGAGGAGAGAGACCATCTTTGGCCGGAGGGTGGGAGCAGTGAAGCGGTGGCCCTGCCGGGTTGAAGGGAGGGCATTCCAGGAGAAGGGCACTGCGTGAGCAAAGGCTTGGAGATGAGCCGTGCACGGCACGTGGGAGGATGGAGAGGCCCAGAGCAGGGAAGCGCGCGGCTGTGTCCTCCCACACACAGGCAGAACAGGGGCCAGCAGTGCTCCCCCCCACGCCCTGCTGCCTCCATTCTGTTGGAGGGACCGAGAAATTCCCGGAGGCCAGGACTCGGCTGAGGGGGTGTCTCCGCCCACAGGAGACCGGAAGCTGTTTGTGGGGATGCTGAATAAGCAGCAGTCGGAGGAGGACGTGCTGCGGCTGTTCCAGCCCTTTGGGGTCATCGACGAATGCACCGTGCTGCGCGGGCCTGACGGCAGCAGCAAAGGTGACCGGCCGGGGGCGGGACTGGCCCGGTGGCGGAGCTGAGCGCGTGGGGGGATGGGCCTAGTCTGGGCACTGCGGGGGGGGGGGGGGGCGGGGCCCTTGAGAAGGTCGGGGTTGGCTTCTGGGGTGGGGCAGGGCACGTGGGAGGGCGGGGTTGGCGTCTGGGGGCGGGGCCGGGCTCTTGAGATGGTGGGGGTTGGCTTCTGGGGCGGGGCGGGGCACGTGAGAAGGCAAGTTTGGCTGCCGGGGGAGGGTCCTGACACCTGGGAGGGCGGGGTTGGCTTCTGGGGGCGGGGCCAGGCTCCTGAGAAGGTGGGGTTGGCGTCTGGGGCGGGGCAGAGCATGTGGAAGGGCGGATTTGGCTCTTGAGAAAGCCGGGTTGGCTTCGGGGGCGGGCGGGTCACGTGGGAGGACAAGTTTGGCTCCTGGGGGCGGGGCCAGGCACGTGAGAAGGCAAGACTGGCTCCTGGGGGAGGGGCCTGGCACGTGGGAGGGCGGGGTTGGCTCTGGGGGAGGGGCCATGCCCTTGAGGAGGCGGGACTAGGTTCTGGGGCGGGATAGGGTACGTGGGGGCGGGGTTTGACTCCTGGGGGCGGGGCTGGGTACTTGAGAAGGCGGGGGTTGGCTCTTGGGGGCGGGGCCAGTCACGTGGGAGGCTGGGGTTTGTTCCTGGGGCGGGGGCTGCGTGGGCGGAGACTGTAAGGTCCCACCTGGTCCTGCCTGCGCGCCGCCTGTGCCCACCTGACTGGGACATTTTCCTGTGGACTGCCTGATCCTGGCTGAACATCTAGGGAAGACTTTAATGGTCCACAGCGACCTGTTTACCTGTCTGCCCACGTGACTGGTTGTGACTGCAGATGAGCGTCACTGCACCTGCGGCTCTTAGTCTCTGACTTTCTGCCTGAGTGTCTAAATGATTATTTCTGTTTGGGTCTTCATGCGTCTGGTGGTCTTTGTCTGTCTGTCTACCTGATTCTACCTTTTTGAGTTCATCTATCAGGCAGCAACTCTTGCCCTGCCTGTCTCTGGCCCTCAAAACGTTTTATCTTCTAGGACAGAATGTATCCCATTGTCCCTATTTGCTTGGTTCTCCCTCTCTTTAAATTATTTTTATTTTTCATTTTTTAAATGTTTTTTAAAGTTTATTTATTTACCATCTCTACACCGAATGTGGGGCTCAAACTCACAACCCCAAGATCAAGAGTCGCATGCTCTACTGTCTGAGCCAGCCAGGCGCCCCTCTTTTTTTTATTGATTTTAATTGATATCTACACACTGTAAAATTCGCCTTTTGAAAGTGTGCAGTGAAGTGCTTTATGGTCAAACAATTGTGCAACCATTGCCACTCTCTAATCCAGAACATTCCGTCGTCCTACCCTACCCCCAGTCTTCCATAGTACTCTGCTGCCTGTCTGGAACTATGTCTAGTAGTCTCTCCTTACGATTGTGTGTCTGAATTCACCTGTGTCTGGTGGTCCCTGGTTGCCTGATTTCTGGTTTCTTCCTGTGTGACCAGCCAGCTGGGTCTGACCTGTCTGGTATGTATGTATGTATGTATGTATCTAGTATGTATGTATGTATGTATCTAGTATGTATGTATGTATGTATGTATGTATGTATCTTTTTTTTTTTATCCCCATCTCTCCAACTCTGGTCACATGGTCCTATCTGTCTGGGTCTGAATGTATCTGTGCCTGAGTGTGCCCACAGGGCCGTATCTCAGCGCCTGTGTCTGAACGTTTGTCACCTTCTCTCTTCATATCTGATTATAACTTGATCTCACGGTGTCAGCAGCTGGTGGTGTCTAAGCCTGCGCCCTTCACTAGTTCCAGCGAGCAGGACCTGCCCCGCTGACCGCACACCGCCTCTCGGTGTCTGTCGAACCATGCGAGCCACAAACAGCTGTGGAGCTGGTGGCTTTCTGAGTGAATGGGTGGCCACCTGGCTGATGTCATATGTGCGCTTGTCTTACTGCCTGATCCTTTATTGTCCAGCTGTCTGTCTGAACAAATTACTAGCTGTCTCTCTGTTCTGACTGTCTGACCAGCCATCTAGGGCTCCCAGTCCCCTCTCCTGTGGCACCTGCCCACCCAGAAAGACCCCATTGCCCCTCACGCATTCTCCTTCTCTTGGGGCAGGCTGTGCCTTTGTGAAGTTCTCCTCCCACACCGAGGCCCAGGCGGCCATCCATGCCCTGCACGGCAGCCAGACCATGCCGGTGAGTAGGGCCCATCCCGGGCCATGGTGCTGGGTGTGCGGAAGGGGGGAGGGGACAGGGACGAAATCTCTCCCTACTGGTCCCTCCATCCCGTAGCCTCACGCTGTTCATCAGCAAGGCACAGGTGGAGAGAGAGGTGCAGTCTCTGATGGTGGTATGGGTACGTGTGCGCATGTGAGTGTGCGATTGTGCATGTGCGGAGCATGTGAGTGTGTGAGCGTGCACAGACGTACTGCCAGTGTGTGGCGACATGTGTGTCTGTGTGTGTTTAAGAGAGAACATGTGAGTGCATGTGTGTGTGGTTGTTAGTAGGGGATTGGCAATGTGCACGCGAGGTGTGTGTGTGTGAGAATATGTCCGGATATGTGTGTGTGCCAGTGCGCATGTGTAAGTGTGCTGAATGGGTGTGTGTGAGTGGATTGTGTGGTATGCATGTAGGTGTGTGCACGTGTGTGTTTATGCATGTGTGTACTGAGCGCATGTGTATGTGTGGGTCTGTCTGGCTGATGTGGAGGGAACGAGCACATTGTGCATCTGTGGGTATATGTGAGGGCAAGTGTGTGAGTGTGTGTGGATGGGTGTGTGTGTGAATATGCGTGTATGTGACTGCATGTGTACATGTGTGATTGTGTGCCTCTGAACATATTGTGTGAATGCATGTGTGCAACCATGTGTGATAGGCATGGTGACTGTAAATGTGTGCACATAATTGCGAGTGTATTCGTGTCTGTGAGTGTGTGTGGGTGGTGTTTGTGTGCAAATGTGTATGAGCGTGCATAGTGAGTGCATGTGGATGTGAGTGTGAGCATGCATAGTGTGTGTACGTGTGTGAGTGTATGAACATGTGGGGTGTGTGTGTGAGCATGTGTGGTGTGTGAGGTTATGTTTTTAGGTGCATGAATGTGTGAGCATGCATGGTGAGTGTGTGTGTGACTGTGTACGAACGTGTGTGAACGTGTGTAAGAGTATGTGTGCATGTGTGTGTAAGCGTACATGCGGGTTCCTAGAGGGGTGGGGCCTGAGGGGTGGTTTGGCTTTGTGGAGGCCAGCAGGGGAACGTGGGGCGTGGGGCATGACACAACAAGGATGGGGGTGGGGGCGTGTAGCCCCAGAGGAGCAGGGAGCATGGCTGGAGGGGCTGCAGCCAACGGCCGAGGAGCACGGGGTTCCTAGGGCAATGAGGAGTCATGGAAGGTTTTGACAGGGCAGGGAAGGGGCCAGGTCAGTTGGAAATGTCCCCTGGGCCAGAGTGGGGATGGGCAGGGGGCAGGTCTGGAGCAGTGAGAGGCTGGGGAGGACCAGCCAGGTCCTGGGAGTAGCCCTGCCCTCCAGAAGGAGCTGCTAGGAGCCACATCGCTGTACATAAGTGTCCGAATCTGCCACAGGGAAGACAGGCCTTAGAGAACCAACTCTCCTCTCAGCTGTTCTCAAAAATGGGTGTGAGGAGCAGGGCAGCCTCAGAGCCTCCTGTCCCTTGCATTCTGGGCTCTGGGGCCTCAGTTTTAGTCCCTGGAGTGGCAGGATTCGGCTCACCGTGAGGTCAGGCTTTCACATGCACACAGCTGACCAGTGATGGGGCGCATCAGGGAGTGAGCTCTCCAGCAAAGGGGGCATGTCCCCTCTCTGATGGTTGGAGTCTCAGCTGTCCTTAGGTGTGAGTGACAGTTATAGGGTCCTCCACTTGGGTCTCCGTTGTTTCTCCCCGCCAGTTGGACTCTCCATTTTTGAGAGTGTGGCTGATAGTCAGGGTCCTCTACTGTGCCCCAGACGCGACCCCCTGGGCTCGGATGCCCCACCTGTGCCCACAGGCGGCTGCATGGTCAAGTGCGAGACCCAGGATGCTAATCTGTGAGCTGTTCTCGCTGTGACGTGCGTGTCCTGCAGCTACGGGCGCACGGGCAGGACCAGCAGCTGCTGACATCTACGGTGCTCCCCCCGAGGGCCAGAGCTGGCGCGGTTCCAGGAACCCCAAAGTCCTGGCTACCTCCCTCCTTTCCCTCCTTGCTTGCCGCTGCCACTGTAGGGTGCTTCCTCCAGCCTGGTGGTCAAGTTTGCCGACACCGACAAGGAGCGAACACTGCGGCGCATGCAGCAGATGGTGGGCCAGCTGGGCATCCTGACGCCATCCCTCACCCTGCCCTTCAGCCCCTACAGTGCCTACGCCCAGGCTGTGAGTGACCCCAGCAGTTGCACTTCTGTCTCCAGCGGGGCTCCTAACACCACTCTGGGGGTCCGGCTCAGTCTCTCTCTCCATCCATGCTCTGTTGGCGGTTCTGCCTCTCTGCTCATCTTTCTGTATCTTGCCCAATCTCTCTGATTCACGATCCTATCCTGGTCATGGTTGAGTCCCCAAATCCAGGCTGATTCCTGAACCCCCACCCCCAGCTGAACCCCCAACCATGAACTGAGCCCCAGGCCCAAGTTGAACCCTAACTCTGGACTGACACGACCCCATACTTAGCCCCTAAATCTAGGCTGGGTCTCAAACCCAAAAGGAGCCTCTAAATCGAGACTCCAAACTGAGACCCAACCCTGGCTGGGTTCAATGTTGGCTGATCCCTGATCCCAAACCAAGTCCAGATTCCTGACTCAGCCCTCATCTCAAGCCTGAGCCCTGATCCTAGGCTGAGCCTTGATCCCATGCTGAGCCCCGATTTCTAACTGAGCCTGGACCCCAGCCTGAGCCAAGATAGCCAGTCTGACCCCCTCCCCTCCCAAGTTACTTGAGGACCAGGCCTCCTCCCATGAGTCACGACCTCAGGGCAGGTGTCACCCTTATTGTGCATGCTGACTCCCTTTCCACCCCCAGCTCATGCAGCAGCAGACAACGGTCCTGTCCACGTCGGGCAGCTACCTGAGCCCTGGCGTGGCCTTCTCACCCTGCCACATCCAGCAGATTGGCGCCGTCAGCCTTAACGGGCTGCCTGCCACGCCCATCGCCCCTGCCTCTGGTGAGAGTCCGCCAGGGGCCTAAGGATGGGTGGGCAGGGCAGGGCCAGGGCCAGGCTCAGGCTCCCCATGGTGCTCCTCCATTCTGCAGGACTGCACTCACCCCCCCTGCTTGGCACCACTGCCGTGCCCGGACTTGTGGCTCCCATCACCAATGGCTTCGCAGGTGTCGTGCCCTTCCCTGGGGGGCACCCTGCCCTAGAGACTGTGTATGCCAATGGCCTTGTGCCCTACCCAGGTAACTGGAGTGGTCCCCTGGGATCTGGGGAGGGGGCGGGGAGGGTGTCTCTGGGACAAGCATGAGTTCCTATGCCATGGTCCCTGGGAAACAGAGGGAGTCTCGACTGAACAGATGTGAGCTGTGGGCACAGAGAAAGGGCTGTAGCAGGGTGGTTAAAACATGGGAACTTTATATCCAGACATTTCTGGGTTCAAACTCCAGTTTGGTGGTCCCAGATGGTCTCTGTGAGTCTCTGGGCCTCAGTTTCTTCACCTGGGAAGTAGGGCAGATGACATCAGTCGTCTCAGGAGGTTGCACTGACAATGAAATTAGCATGTCAAATGCTTAACACATCGCCTGTACCAGGAACAGCACCATCAATCTTAATTATTAATCGTCACTATTTAGGAAGATATCAGTACCCATATTCATTCATGCATCCATCCATTCAGTATGAGCCATGCACCGACTTAGGCTAGGCCCTACCTTTGTGAAGCAGAGGTCCCACCTTTCCCGACCCTATACCACAATCCCCAGGCAAGCCTCCTCCGACACCTTGCTTAGGTGAAATCATCTGCATTTCCACCATCGAGGAGAATTTATTTTTATTTTGAAATGATTGGAACTCACAGGGAGTTTTAAAAATAGTACGGAGAGGTCCTGGTCCCTCCAACCGAGCCCTCCCCCTCCCCAAGCTAACAGCTTACATAACCCGAGCACATTGTCAAAACCAGGAAGCTGACATTTGTACAATACAATTAACTCAACAGGAGTTGGGACACCTTATTCAGACTGCACCACTTTCTGTGTGCACTCATGTGTGTGTGGGGGGGAGGTCTGTGCCATGTTATCACACGTATAGATTTGTGTAACCACCACCAAAATCAAGACACAGAACTGCTCCATCTCCATGGGGTGATTCGTTCATGTGACCCCTTTATGGTCACCCCCCCCACACACCCCCATCCTCTAGTAACCTCTCTCCATTCGAGCAGAATCTTTTGGCTGAAATCTCCCCCTGATGCACCAGCTCTAGCGGTCTGGACAACCTCTCCCCTCCCCTTACCTCCTCCCCTGGGAGCCATTGGGAGGTCACAGCCACATGGGGGATCCACGGGGTGTCTGATGAGTGAGGCTTGGAGTGGGAGAGAGGGAAACGGATGGGGATGGAGGGTGATCAGGAGCAGAGGCCTGAAGTCCTGGAGAATCCAGAGAATAAAGGGGAAGAGCGAGGGGCTCCGGATGGGGGCAGAGAGATGGGGGTGATGGTTAAACCTCTCTGGAGTCCTGTTCGACTTCTGCCATTTCCTATCTGAGTGGCCCTGTGCCAGTTGCTTCATCTCTCTGAACCTCAGTTTTCCTGCCCATGAAATGGGGACCATACCTGTAAAACGTTTATGCAGAGGTGAAGCTGGGGCAGATGTTTGTTGCTCTCCTTCTGGGTCCTAAGTATCGGGGGTGGATGGCAGATCTGCTGCCCTCGTCCCACTCAGCCCCTCCGTCTGCCCCGCAGCTCAGAGCCCGACCGTAGCCGAGACCCTCCATCCCGCCTTCTCCGGAGTCCAGCAGTACACAGGTACGCGGGCAGTCCGGCCCAGCCTCGGGCGTGGCCCCGCCCCCTTGGCCCCGGCTTCCTTCTTGTCTAGCCCCTCCCCCTTAGCCACACCCCGCTTCTGGCCCCGCCTCTCAGGGGCCGCCCTTTCGTTTGGCCTTCCCCCTTGCACCTAGCCACGCCTCCTACTTCTGGCCCTGGCCCAACCCCAGGTTTTGGCCCCACCCCTCCTCGCCCCTTGCAGCGTCTGGTCCCGCCCCTCATATCCTGCCCCGTTTCCGCTAGGGCCCTGCCCTCAGCCATGGCCCTGTCCCCTCAAGCTCTGGCCCCACCCACTCTGATCTTATGTGGCCTTGGCCCCTCCTCCAGGCCCGCCCTCGGTTGTGGCCACGCCCCCGCCTGATGCCAGGCGTTGACCCCACCCCCTCGTGGCTCTGCCCCACTCTTCGCTGGGCCTTGGCCCCTCCCCTAGGCCCGCCCCCGCCCGCCCCGGGCCGCCCACCGGCCTCACACCCGCCTCCGCCCTGTGTCTCGCTCCCGGTCTCCGCAGCCATGTACCCCACCGCGGCCATCACGCCCATCGCGCACAGCGTCCCCCAGCCGCCGCCCCTCCTGCAGCAGCAGCAGCGAGAAGGTGAGGGGGCCGCGACCTCCCCTGGGCGCCAGCCCCGCCCTCTGACCGCCCCCTCCACCTCCAGGACCCCTGTCCTCACCTGGCGCGCTGCCTCGGGGAACCGCGGCTAAGAGCGCGGCGGGCTGGCCGGACAGACCTGGGTTCGAGTTCTGGCGCGGCCCATGGGTGTTCTGGGGGAACTAAATCATCCTCTCTGAGCCTCGGCTCCCTCCTCTGGAAAGTGGGAACCGTAGGACTAGCGGTGACCCCACCACCCCCAGCCGCCCTCTCCAGGACTGGACGATTCTCTGAATTTTTGGAAAGGACGTTCGTCTTGAGGTCGGGCGGGGGGGACGGTGATGAGGTATCTCGGGGAAACTGAGGCCTCGCCAGTAAAGTGGAAAGAGGGAGGAGTTAGATCCTGGAGTCCGACAGCCGGGATTCAGATTCACCCAGTTCTGACTGCGACGTCACAAGGAAAGCGTCACTTCACTGCCCTGTGCCTCAGTTTCCTCTTCTGCAACAGGAGCGACCATCTGGGTCAAGAGGCCTTACTGGGAAGGAGGCAGGGCCGTTCCTGACACACAGTGCGGCTCAGCACCCAGGAAGGCCCTTTCCCTTGTCCATCCAGCTAGTGGGGTGGGAAGAGGTGACCAATTCGCCCCATGGCCGGGGGAGCTCCGCAGTTGGCCTGGCCTGCAGACCGAGTTCTTTGAGGCTCTGCCCCACTTCTCCCTTGCCCTTGTCCCTTGGAAGGGGGCACTGCCAGGATACAGGAGCTGAGCTTTGGGAGGCGAGCCCTAGGCTGAGGGGTCCCCAGCTCCGCCAACCAGCTGTTACCCCATTCTCCGTCAGATTTTATATTTCCAGGGGGCTCTCTGGTTAAAGTCACAGAGCAGGCATGAGGACTTGGCAGTGCCGGCAGCTGCAATGTGACTTTCAGTGACCTCCCAGGACCCCCGGGCGGGCGGCGGGCCAGTGCAAGCTTCAGAGAGGGCCCAGCTGGCTCGGGTCACTGTTTTGTGGATGGCTCGGACCTGGGTGTCTCCCTCTCCGTCCCTGCTCCAACTTCCCTCCACCTGGGCTGAGGGTAAAAGCTGGTGCAGAGGTGGTCAGTGCTGCTGTTAACTCACGACCAGCGCCCTGGAGAGTGCCCATAGCATGCAGAACAATCTGCAAGACTCCTGCTTGCACCATTCCAAACCTCTGTCTGTGACATGTCAAAGCAAAACTAAAGATAGAGCCCTAATAAAAATGGTAGCACAGTGTTATGCATGTGAGCGGGTTAAAAAAATACGCTCAGTGTGGCATTTTATCCTGGCACAGAGCTCAAGTTTGCACGTGGAGGTGGCATTGATGGCATTGATGGGAAGTGTTGCCGCCGTGGGCTGCTGCGAAGTGGCGGAAAGAGACTTGTCTGAAGTCAGGCGGGGAGTCGTAACCCCGGTCGGACGGGGATGCGTGTGGCTCACAACACACTTGGGGAGCTGAGGGAGTGGTAGGCGTTCCCGCTGTGAGTGTGTTCTCATGAGGTCCGACTCAGCTGGGTGCGGCTTTCTGCATTCACCCCGTGTTTCTCGGAGATGAGATAGCACACAAGCACACCTAACATTTGTGTTGCGGTCGAGATTGTGCGGTCGGAATCAATCACGATGATCGCGTTGGGACACGCTTGAATTTTAAAAACAAGTGCTCTTAGAGCTGTGGACCTAATCAGGAAGGTGAGGGTTGGATGTCAATGGGACACTGGACAAAATCCAATCTTGGATTTTGTATTTCCTGGGGTGGAGAATACTCATTTCCAGGCCGAAGGGGATTCTTGGTGGTTGGGGGGGTTCCCCGCGTTTTGTGGGGGCATGGGAGAAGGTCATATGTTGGTTTGGGATTAGGGGCAGGTTTGGAGACTGTTCATGGCTTCAGATAATGAAGGTTTTTAAATTTGATTGTTATTTATAGATTTTACATGACCTGTGCATTGGGGATTATTTGGGGATGGAATGGTTTTGAGAGTTAGCTGTGCTTTTTACCAAAGTATTTCTGGTTGGTATAGTATATCATTTTAAAATTCCCAGGTGGGGGCCGGGGACGCCTGGCTGGCTCAGTCAGTAGAGGACACGACTCTCGATCTCAGGGTCATGAGTTGGAGCACCACATTGCGCATGGAGCCTACTTAAAAATAAATAAAAATATAATAAAACTACCAGGTGGTTTGGGGACTAGACAATTTTTTTTTTATCTTACTTGATTTTATTTTTGTGTCGTGTGGGTTTTGAAAATTATTCAAGGTTTGGAGGATTATCCACGGTTTTGAAAACTAGATATTTGGGGTTTGGGACCAGGGAATGATTTGTCTTACTTTAGTCTGTGATCATCGGACTTGTAAAACATGAACACTTTATTTTAAAACCAGTCTTAGATTTACAGAATTAGTGCAAAGAGAGAGCAGAGTGTCCGCATACCCCACATACAATTCATCTGATGTCGTAAATGGTCTGGAGTTTCCAGTGTAGGGATTTTTCAGGGGTTTCCGGTTGTCTGGGATTTGGGGATTATCCAGGTTCTGGCATTGAGGGATTTATCTCAGTTTTGTGGGGAGGGGCCATCTGAATTTTGTAAATTATCTGGGACCTGAGGATCGTCAGAGGTTCGGCATACTTGAGTGTGGGATTAGACAGGCGAGGGTAAGCACGCCCTGCCTCCCCTCCCCGCTCCTCCACGCCCCTGCTTCCTGGTGTCACGGGCACCCTCCCCCAACAGCTGGAGATGCCAGAGGTGGGCTCCAGTCCCGCGCCCCTCCCCCGGGGGGGTCCGCCTCCTCTCCTTGGGGGCTTTATGTCTTTCTCTCCCCCACCTGCAGGTCCCGAAGGCTGTAACCTGTTTATCTACCACCTCCCCCAGGAGTTTGGAGACACGGAGCTGACGCAGATGTTCCTGCCCTTCGGCAATATCATCTCCTCCAAGGTGTTTATGGATCGGGCCACCAACCAGAGCAAATGTTTTGGTGAGTACCTGCTGCAGGCACCCCTTCCTGCTTGCCAGCCCCATCCCCGACTCTGCCCGCCAAGGAACAGGGGCGTGGGAGGGTGTGGTCCAAAAGAATAACATTTAGAAGTTAGAATGAGCACTTATTAAGCACCTTCTGTGTGCCAGGCACCATGCTGGGTGCTGGTACAGAGCAGTGAAGGAAGCCAACAAAATTCCTGCCTTCCAAAGCTCGCAGTCTTGCTGCACTGCCCAACAGAATTTTCTCCACCCACGGAGGTGTTCTCTACACCTCTGCTGTCTGAGCCGTCAGCCACATGTGGCCACCAGGCACCTCAAGTGTGGCAGTTCAACCACAGAAGCAAAGTTGTAGTTTTCACGAATCTAAATCTAAATTACCACCTGTGGCCAGCGACCACGGAGCCAAAAAGCACAGGTTTACAGGTAGGAGGTGGGAATAAACAAGGCTGGACATAGGCCAGGGGGTTATAAATGGCATGAAGAACACCATCACCAATCTACTCCTAAGGACATAGAAGCTGGTATGCAGGAGGTGATGTTTCAGCTGAGACCCAAATAATGAGATTTCCCAGCCCCAGGACATCGGGGTACAGGGTTCTGGACAGAGGGAGCAGCACATGCAAAGGTCCTGGGGCAGAACTAGGTCTGGTGTGTTGGAGGGCCAGCCAGGAGGCCCATGTGGCTGCAGCAGGGTGAGTGAGGGGGAGAGAGGGAGGAGGAGAGGGCAGGGCGGGGACAGGGCAGGGAGGGGAGGGGCAGGGAGGGGATGGGGCAGGTCTTGCGGGGCCTTGGATGCCTCCAAGTCCACACAGCAGCAAAGAGGCAGAACCTAGACTAGAACCAGTCTGACTCTAAAATGTGGACTCTTAATCCCACCCTGTTGTATTCAAAAGGCCAACTCTTGCCTATTTAGTAAGCACCTCCTGTATATACTCAGTATCCCACCATGAAATAGAAGAATTGCCCCAATTTAGCGAGGAAGGATGAGAGGCACCGAGTGGTCAAATAGCACACTTGAGGTCACACCAGTAAGGGTCCCTGCCCATGCCCAGGCCCCTCCTCAGCATCCTGCTTGCAGGACGAAGGAGGCAATGTGTGTAGAGGAAAACCCTCAATCCCCCTCAACACTGAGGAGTCCTAGGTCTTCTCTGAGCCTGTTTCCTGATCAGTATGGTGGGGGGCAAGTGTTAAGAGAGATGATAGATGTGAAGACGTCCCCCCCAGCTCCACATTCCCCCATAGCTCCCCAGTGGGCCCCTGCAAGACCGTTCAACGCTGCCCCACCGTCTCTCCACCTGACCCCCCACCCGGCCTCTCACACAGAGCTCAGGGATCCCTGCCTCAAATGCTTGTGCATGCAGTCCCTTGCCCCAGAGGGCCCCTGGCCCCTGTGGCCTCCACACCATCCCAGGAAGCCTGTGAGGACCAAGAGGTGAGGGGCAGGAGTAGGGCAGGGTGGCCTGGGGCGGCAGGTGGAGGGATTGGGGCTGATGGAAGCTTGAGGAGCACCAGGCTAGGATGTTTCCGATTGCCTGGTGGGAGTGGGGGGAGATAGGGGTAGAGGGAGAAAGAGAGACAGAGATAGAGAAAGAGAGAGAAAAGGCAGAGCGAGGAGACACAAGGACACGCGGACAGAGACAGACAGAGTCCGGTGCACGGTCAAGATCCCAGATGGAGAGCGGTTAGCATCCAGGGTCTGGAAGAAGGCAGGCAGCCAGGATGGGGAGGGAGGGAGGGAGGGAGAATGTGGCCCTCCCAGGACCCCCAGAGGCCTCACCTGTCCCCTCTGTGGGAAGTCTCAGCAGAGCAGACCCCAGGTAAGGAGCAAGCACCCCGTCCCCAGGGGCATGCAAGTCCAGAGGGTGTCAGAAGCAGGCCCTGGGCTGCTGTGTGTGCTCTGGCACGCCCTCCTAACTCCCTGGGCCCATCTGCCCCTGCGAGCGCACACCCCCGCCCCCAGGACCCCGCGAGCCGGGAAGCCTGGGCCGCAGCACTGGAGGACGCGGAGGACGCCCACGTTGCCCACCATCGCGGGTCCACCCCGGTCTCCGCAGGCTTCGTGAGCTTTGACAACCCGGCCAGCGCGCAGACGGCCATCCAGGCCATGAACGGCTTTCAGATCGGCATGAAGAGGCTCAAAGTGCAGCTGAAGCGGCCCAAAGACCCGGGACACCCCTACTGACCGCGCCCACAGCCGCCCGGAGGCTGCGGGCCTGGCCCAGGTGAGCCGCCAGGCGGCCCCACCCACACCCCGCCCCCACCCCGTCTTGGCCAAACACCCTCTCATTCTCCAAACCCTCCCCAGCCCTGGGGGATGCTGCTGGAGGCCACAAGGAGCCCCCAGGTTGGGTTGGTGAGGACAGAGCTAGACCAGAGTCACCCCCCATTCCTCCTTCGGTCAGGGCTGGAACAGAGGGTGTAACCAGGATCCAGGGGTGGTTGGGGAATCCTTCCAGAAGAAGGCTTTGAAGGATGAATAGAAGTTCGCCTGAGAGGCCAGGTTTGGTCTGGGGTGGGGTGGGCTCTGGGGAGGGGCTTCTGTCCTGTCCTACGAATCTCACAGCTGGGCCCCTGTCATAGCTCCTTATTTGGTGTAACTCGTGCTCAGTGGACTGGTGAGAAAGTGGAACGTTTGCCCTGCTCACCAGCATGCCCCGCCCCCAAAAAAGATACCCCCAAACACATCCCCAAGAGTGTATTTTGCCATCAGAGAGAACAACTTTATCAACAACTAAACACCTTCTTTGGGCAATGAACGGTGAGCCTAAGGGGCCAGTGGGGAAATGTAACTGACCGCAAACCTTGACGAGCCTCATCTGTGGAATGGGTTCGTGAAAGTCGCCTCCCGAGAGGCAGCAGGGAGGATCCGCTTGGGAATGCGGTGTTTTCCCAGTCGAGCCCAGGACCCGCCACCTGGAAAGCTCTTGATCATTTTTTTTTTCTTTTTTCAATCACGAGCGCCGTCGTCATCAAAGCGCCGCGCCTGGGGTCTGGCGCGAAGTAGGTGCTCAGTTAGGGGCTGTGCATGCTTTTCAGACCCTGTCAAATCAGCACCCACAGATTCGCGGGTATTCAGTCGCGGGATCAGGCAACTAACAGACGCCCCATGCACCTGAACACTCTGGGACAGCAAATCCTTACTGAGCACCTACTATGCGCTAGGCTCTGTTTCCAGCACTTGGGGACACAGCTGTGAATGACCAGAAACGGGGCGGGGGTTGCGGGGGGGAGCTGCCTCCGTGGAGCTTCAGTGGCAGGGTTCGGGGGAGGGGAGACAAGAATAAACACAGCTCTTGGCCCCAGGTTGTGGGAGGAAATGGGCTCAGCGACCCAAAGTCCCTTCCCAGGTGGTTTGTTGGCCTCCGAATCTGGAAATGGACTCTCTCTCTGAAAAGATAGGGGCCCTTGGGTTCCCAGAACCCAGCCTGGCCAGGGCAGGGGGTATGGGTGGGAGGCGATGTCGTAGGCCAGCAGGCCCCGCATCACCGCACCCTAACGCCCCTCCCTTCTCCGCCAGGTGAGGGGCCTTCCCACCCCAGGAGGGCCTCCCGCTTCCAACCGATCCCGGACTTTTCCGTAAATTACAACCGAGTTTGGACACCAGCCCTCCCTCTCCTCTCCCGTCTCCCCTTGCCCCCATCCCCTAATGTGAAACACTACTGAAGGCCACGTGGAGCGGGGAGGGGGCTTCGTGGTCTGCCTCAGCGCTGGGGGGAGGGGGGTCCTGAGTTTGGGGCCAAGGGGTTCACCGCCCCCCTCCTTGGTGGCTCCCCAAACTAAATCTCAACTTTTCCTATATATATATATGCATATATATATAGAGCTATAGACAGTATATATATTTTTTGAGTATAGATCATGGGACCAAACTTTTCCGACTTCCTTCCATCCAAGAGAAGGTGACCCTGGCCCGGTCACTCAGCAGGGACATAAGAAGGGCTGAGGATGACCGGGCGGCCCAGTGTCTCCCCATCTCCCGCTGTCATGTCAGACCAGGGCACCAAGAAGCACTGGGAATCATCAGCCAACGCGATATACCTCCAGGACTTTGGGCCCCTGCTGCCGACGGCTCTCGCAGGCCTTTGGGCTCAGCCAGCTCGAGTGTCCCTGGTCTTAGCTGCAGCTTCTGGAACCCCTACCCCCTCCCTCACCCCAGGGCCCTGCCTTCCCCGATGTAGGCACAAAAGAGACCCCCCCCACCTCCCCCCGTCATAGCCTTACTCATGTGACCAATAGCCCTTAGCTTTCCGTCAGGGGCAGACAGGGTCGGGGGAGCCCCCGCCCCTCGTGCCCCCTCCCAAGGGCAGGCAGCCACCCTCCCTGCCTTCGGATCACCAGCCTGGAGTTCACGATCTCATGACCAAGATTGCCAAGCGCGTTGGACAAGCCAACCTGCACTGGCCCAGCACCCCTTTACCAGAGATACCTCTACAAATATTTTTTTTTTTAATTTTGGTCTTTCTGAGCAGATACAAAGAAGAAAAGAGAACAAAATGGGGAAAAAATCAGACGACAGTGGATTTTTGTTTCCTAGTTGGGGCGGGGAGGGAGGTCTTGCGGGGGCGTCTCTGTATAGCTACTCAAACCGTGAAAACCCACTTTGAAGCACAGAGTCAAGTTCGTTGGACGTCAGTGGGGCCTCTTGCCAAGTGAGGCACCAGAGAACTTAATAAGCTCAAGAAAAAAAAAATTTGTAAAGAAAAAAAAAAACAGCATTCCCTTTTGTTTCTACCAAAATGTGTTGACTGACCCAGAAAAAACAAAAAAACAAAAAAACAAAAAAAACAAAAAAAAAACCACATAAAAAAAAAAAAAAAAAAAGGAAAAGAAAAAAAAAAATCTTATGACCAACTTGTTTCGATATTCCAGAGTTTGATAATTGTTCCGAGACACTCTAGCGTGCCTGTGTCCCGTGCGTCTGCGTGTGCAAGCGCGTGCCCAGGGGCCACGAGGGGGCCTCGTCCGCGTCGCCGGCACCTGCCAAGCCCCCGCCGGGCCTGCTTGGGAGTGCATGGTGGCGTGCAGTGGCGTGCGTCCTTCTGGTCCATGTTTACCGGCTGTAAATACCATTTTTATACTCCACATCGAAGACCTACGTGATTTGTACGATGTACTTTATTTCTGCTACGAGTAATTTCATGAAGTTTCAACTTGCAAACCGACTTTTGGAGACAAACCGCCACACACACACACACACACACACACACACACACACACACACACACAGAAAAGGAAAACGAGAAAGGGACTTAGAGGGAACTTTGGGTTGACTTGGTTTGAATTTCTGGCTGGAGAGATCTTTGTCACTGTGGCGTGTTCAGGTGAGAAGCTGCAAGCATCATCTTAATGTCCAAACGCCTCTCTTTGGTCTGGAGAAACTGAAAGTTTATTTAATAAAAGTTTTACTTGCTAAAGGACCGGGTCCTCCCTTATTTGCCCTCTCCTCATCAATAAAGACCGAGCGCGTCTGGCCCGAGTTGCCTGGGCAGGAGGAAAAACCCAGATTTCAAGTTAGGGGATGCAGGAGGAGATATTCCGAGAATACTCCCGTGACCAAGATTCCCTCTGATTCGTCCAGAAGTGGAAGAGAGAGGACTCTTCCTTCCCCAGGAGAGCAGGTGTCTGTGATGGCGGATTCACACGCTCATTAGGTCTGCAGACACCTGCCGAACCCTTCTGTGCGCCCAGGCGGCCCTGGTCTCTGCCCTCATGGAGGTGGCCCCACGGAGCAGAGAGACACTCTACAATATGCATTTTCTTTAAGTCGAGGTAGAATTCACATAACATAAAATTCACCATTTTTACCATTTTAAAGTAATCCAGTGGCATTAAGCACATTCACAAGGTTGTGCAGAGACAACGCGTGCCTAATTCCAGGACATTCTGACCCACAAAAGCAACCCCGTCCCCGTGAACAGTGGCTTCCCTCTCCTCAGCCCCCGGCCCCCACGAGCCCCTTTCCCGTTGGTGAATTAGCCTGTTCTGGACGTGTCACACACGTGGACTCACACCCCGTGTGAGGGGCAGCGCATGTGGGTGCCTCGCTCCAGCACCTCAGACAGAACAAGGCCAGTTGGGGTGGGAGCTGGAAAGCTGAGTCTGAGTCCACCTGGAAGGGTGTTCTGGGTGGAAGGAACAGCCTGGGCAAAGGCTCAGAGGCTGAGATGTTGTGGAGGTTGGACGGTCAGCCAAGATGCAGCACTGGCTGGAGAGGCAGATGTAGAGGTGGGAGGGACTCAGCTACAGAGGGCCTCTGGTGATTAAGCAGCTACCAAGTGCCGGGCTTCGTCCCCACCTTCTCAAGGCCCCAGTCAAGGAGGAAGGGGGGCAAAAAAACAGAAGTGCACAGCCCTGCAGGAAATAGTAATTCCAGAGGGTGCTACAAGTTGTAACTACAATGAGATGAACAAATCTGGGCTATTGTCTTGAGGGTAATGAGGAACCACAGAAGGGCTTGGAGCAGGGGAGAGGCATGATCATACTTGGGTATGAGAAGGACACCAGGGTGACCTCCATGCTGCTGCTGGGTTGCAGATCAGCACTCTGGAAGATAATGTGGCAGGACAATAGTTCTACCAAGCGTTTACTAAGCACTTATGATTTGCCAAGCATTGTTTCAAGCCTGAGTCATACACGACAGTAGCCACTAACCGCATGTAGCTATTTACAGTTAAATCGATTTACGAAATTATAAATTCACTTGGCCAAATGAAGCCACATTTCAAGGACTCAAGAGCTGCACGTCCATCACTGCATGAAGTTCTTGTGGATAGCATGGGGCTGAGCGTTTTCTATGACTTAACTCACGTAACCTGCCACCACCCTGTGATGGGTGTCCTGATGACAGCCCCGTTCTAGGAGTTACTACAAAACTGAGGCCCAGAGAGAGTAAGTGGCTGCCAGAGGCAGCTCAGCAGGAAGGGAATCCTGGCCCTCTGCCTGGCTTTTACCCACTTCCCTGCAGTACGTAGTGGCTAAAATTTAAATATATTAGATTGTAATTCAAGTTATTATTTGTAATACTCCAACTGAAGCTTTTAAATGTAATTCAAAGTTGTTGAACGTTTGGAACGTACATCCTTACAAGACAGCAGTTCTGGCTGGGTGTGTCCACGGAGTGAACAGGCATAGGCTTGACACGGCCAAGCCCTGCTGTCATGTCAGTGTTCATCCGGGGGGATAAGCTAAGTGACAGGCAGGGTGTATCAGTGAGTTATTGCTGCATAATAAATACCACCCCCTGCAATTTAGCAGCTTAAAGCAACACGCATTTATTTTCTCAGGGTTTCTGTGGTCAGCAATCCAGGAGCAGACATGGCTGGGTGGTCCTGGCTTGGGGTATCTCATGAGATTGTGGTCAGCACATAGGCCAGCCGGGGCTGCCTCATCTGAAGGCTGGACCGGGGCAGGAGGAGCTGTTCCTGCCAGCGCCCTCACGGGGCTGCTGGTGGGAGGGAGGCCTCAGGTCCCCACCATGTGCGCCTCTCCATGGGGCTGCTCATGACCTGGCAGCTGGCTTCCCTGTGACCCAAAGGAGGAGTGGGGGAGGGACAGAAAG